GCAGCAATTGATTCTCAAACATTTTCCTCCTCTCCTGTTTTCGATAGTCTCCTTCCTCGTACGCGAGAACGAAGTCGATTCTTCTCTTTCCATCAGTAAAATATAGGGTTTCGCGGGTCCTAGATCTGGAAGATAATCCGCTCCGTAGATTCGCCTCTCTGTCTTCATCCTGAAACACAAATCCACATCTTAGTGTGATTCACACAGCCGTGTGTAATTCATATAGACCCAATCACCTGCTCTATAGATGCCCTGCATTTTATAGAGCAAACGCCTCCCTTTACCATCGATTTGATTTTAAATTCTTCCATTGTATACGGATAAGGATTGGGTATTACAATCAAATATGAAGTTAGAGTAACGAATAACAATGGAAAATCGGTTGAAAGTCTCACAAAATACGTCGTTACGAACGAGAAACCGAGAGAAGAGTAAAGGAGAAAAGGAGTAGTCTCATCAATTAAGTGAGAGACATCGAAATTCACGTCACATCGAGATCACGTTAAAAGTGAAACTTAACGAAAGACTATACGAAAATAATGCATTCTGCCATATTTAAATAGATTGCATTCGATGTACGAGACGATTGCATAAATAAATCCGTCCATCAAAATTCAAAGTCGTAACTTGGTGACATTTTTCGCCATCGATTAAGCTTGCAAATTATTCTCGTCAGGTATGCATGCAGTTAAGAAAAGTAGTCTCGTCTTATACCTATTTTTGGTCTTTACTAGTTTGAAAAAATGAAGATAAGAACTGCTGATGCCAGTTACAAGGGACGAAACAAGGTAAAAAGGCCCTGCTGCCAGTTAAAAGGGAGGAAAGTAATGGATATGTGAAGTGTGTGAATAACCATCATTGAAGCAGAGCCCCATACAATGATTGTATATTTAGATTTATTCGTGTTAATCTCGAGTTTATTAAATCTAAATATATAAAACGTTTAATCACCGATCTACATTTGTTTACAGCATTTTATCCTTGAATAATTTCAAGGAATCTTTAGGAAAAACTACGAACGAATTATTTGCTGCAAATTAAACAATAGCAGATCTACTAAACATCTATAATAGCTTTAGACAAGGAAGAAAAATAGAAAATGTCATATATTTCTATACTATATTATCAATTTTGATTTTATATACAAGCTGATCAGCCATGTCGAATTATTACTAGGAAAATCAAAGTTCGAATAGTTTTACTTTAATGATAAACAAATCGACTATATCGAGAGCCTGGTGAAACCGTAAATACTGTTGCTATGCCATAGAGGTTATCTAAATTTATTGCTTTGACATATAAATAATATCTTCCGTTGAAATATTCTATATCTAAATCTAAATTGCTATTGATGAATATCGTTAAAATTAAAGCCCAACAAAGCCCACAATTTAAGCAGAATAACCTACAATTGAACGGAAGCCCAATTGTGAGCTTTAGTTTCATAGCCTACAATTGAACAGAAGCTAAAGCCCACAATTAAACAGAAGCTAAAGCCCACAATTGAATANGAATTCTTTCGGATGATTGATGTTTCGGATGATTGACTTTCGGATAATCGACGCTCTACTGTATTTTGTTTTTATTGAAAATTTCCGAATTCTTTTCAGAAATAATTTTTCGTTGCTGTAAACAACCGACCGATAAAACCAGAGAATTAATTTGCATATTGGCGTATCCGATATACGAATTTCGGCCAAAGTTGCCATTTTGGGAGTCCGAGTTATCCAATTTCATCTAACTTTTAAATGACGATTCCGAATCAATCATGTAAAGGAGTGCGTCTAGCAAGGATGATCTGAGTTTTTCGTGATTTATTTACACGAAGGAGTAGGACCGGCAAGGAGGATGAGATTTTGTCGTTGATTTACACAAAATGAACAACAAAGAAGGTACATCAAATAGATTATAGAAAATTTCCTGAATGCTTCTCTGATGATTAAACGTTCGGCCAATCTGAAAAATGTCTTAATACTAAGAAGTTCATAAGATTTTTTAATCAATTTGGGCAAAAATGTTAAAATAACAGAGCAATATGAAAAGTTTTGAAGGAAATAAAACATATTTTCTAATGATAAACGAGGGAAAGTAGCTGAAAGACGTCGTAAATAGCTTTCGAAGAGCAATTACTCCGCATCTGTTAACAGACGTCGAAAACGTTTAATTCCAATTTTATGAAGCATTTATCTTTACTAAACTGTTCGAGGCAGCTTTTCGAGAGTGAGAAATGAGTTGACGTCACAGCAGTTGCGGCTTCGATGCTAAATGTAGCGGTTTAACCCTTTGTAACTTTTGGTTCGATGGAAAAGAGGATTTGACTGTCGTTTATTATCGATTCTTTTCGACAGGTGGAACCTTCGTCTTTGGAAAAACTTTAAAAAGAAACTTCTTGAATATATAATCGATCTACTTTATCGTAATCTGGGTGATTTATAACACGAATTTGACTGTATAATTGAGTTTGGTTTATTTTAAATACAAGGATGCGTTTATATCTAGATGCCTTGACCTATTATTTAACAACGGATATGTTACTCTAAAACGTCAATTTGTTTGAATTACAGCTTTAAACATTTGTAATAAAATTGTTTATAGTTCACGTGGTTTGATTAAAATTTAGCAAATTTTTAATAAATCTTCTTTTTTGCTAAATAATAAAACTACTTTCAGTATATGTTAGTCCAGAGCGGAATTTAGACTTTTGGCCCTGCATTACAGCATATCACGGATCTTTTCTTTTTCTACCAAATAATAATAAGCAATAAATGTAAATTGTCTTTTAGAATAGAACAAGGATCTTCGTAAGTCTTAAAGTCCTAAGCTGTAGTTTTTTAGCTTGCACGCAAGTCCAGCTTTATGTTAGTTGATAATGTAATGCGTGATTTCTGCATAGAGTGACTTTTTTAAAACTCTTTTCGCTTGGTACTAGCATAACCTGCTTCATACCCATCGTGAGTACCCGTTGGTCAGTCAGGCCTACAATGGGCGCGACTAGATAGCAAGGGATTGCCGACATATTTTTTCAAGACCCGCAGGACCTAGCAATTTTTCATAGATAGATGAACATTTCTTGGGTTTTTCGACCGCCCGGGTCCCCAAAACCGCAGACTTCACAATAGCCATCCCTACAGCCTTACTTAATGCCCTCGCAAACGGGTCTGATCCTTAATGTGGTAAGTACTGTACTTAATGAGAAATGGAAACTATAGGCCTATCATAATAAGAATTCCGAGCGATGTTTATGAGAGTTCTATTTAGTTTCTTTTATCACAGAATCCATCTTCAAGATAATGGATAAAAATAGTATATACATTCTAGTTTTATCTATCTGGCATTTGGTCAAACCCAAAAATAGAGTATAGACCTTACGGATTCTATTATTGTAGACTTCTGCACCATCATTAATTACTATGGATTACGCATTCATTTAACCTGATATGAATTTTGGCTCAAAGCCCTACAGCATAGTAAACTACAATTTTACCTCTTTTTGATACGTCAAACCCGTTGCATGATTCGTCAACATGGATAAGCGATTGACAGTAACGTCCAGACCAAGTATATGCGATTTCTATTATAACTCAATCTTTGTGCAGTAAATTATGCCAAATTCTTAACCACTTATGAAGGTCGGTTTTAGTTTAGAATGCTAAAAAATAATTTTGACAAACGATTGTATCCAGTAATTACACTGTACTCAGCATTATTGATTACCAAGATTATTCCTCCATATTAAGGTATTTCGCTTTGCTTGGTAATAATTGATTTTGGTTATAAGTGAGAATGCTTAATCTGCATTATTGCATAAAATCAATTAATTGACATGAAGCTTTAGCGGAATAGAAAATTATTTTTTGGTTTGTCACGCTTTTAACTTTTCTATTAACGAATGCATTTATCTATTTACTTTATGAGGAGCTGTGTTTAAATATAACTAACAATTATACTTCTTGTATTCAAAATTTGAGTGATTTTAATGTCAATATGTACAATTTTAATCGGTTTAGTAAATATTTAATAAATTAGATGTTATTTTTTGAAAAAGAAAAGTGATCTTCGGCATAATTAATGTGGACTTATGCAAATTTTAAAAGCATAAGTACAATGCAAAAGAAATTTAAAATCTAGAAAAAAGCGGAAATTTTGCATTTAGCACTCTCTCAGATTAGTTAATTGGTTAAAGTTTGTACGCCAATTTTGCATTTAGGCACACAACATCAACCACCAGTCTACTTGGCAATATTACACAAGTAAACAACTTACAATTAGTTCAATTTGTCCAGTACGAGTTGTTTGTAAGTATGAAAGCCCATTTTTAAAACTCTCCCCGCCCTGCGAGTACTAAGAGAATCTTCTTAGCAAGCCCAATTTGGGTTGGACAAGAACCACAATGAAGCTACCGGATGTTGAGGAGCAGTACCCGACACGTCCGGACGGACTATCCCCGAAAAATTCTCGGGATTTTTCAACCCGTCCAGATTCAATCCCCGGGTCCTCAAAACGGTAAGCTGCTCATTAATTGCTCGGCCATCCGGCCGTCTAATGCCCATTATTAATTTGTACTGGCGTGAGTAAGGTTAACAACCAGACACTCTAATTAGAACTAAAAATATCTAAACCTTCTTCCCATATTGAAATAATTTCTGTTTTTATAAGAAGTATCGTATTTTCGTACGTATAATCCGCGAAGTCATTGCTCCACAGTTGTGAGTTTGTAATTGCAATTAGAAATTGGCATATAACCCATTCATTACATAGCCCTCACCCCTTTCAAATTGTCTTTCACATAAAAGTTATACGCACGGAAATACAGTGTTATCAAGATGTTTAGGTCCATTGTTTGTGAAATTCATATACTTCTCAGATCCTCTTCAGATACTATATACTGTAAATTTCCGTTTGATTTCTCGGACTCCCAAAAGATTACAGGCGAGTGTAGATGACTTGTAAGTGACACGAGTGCGGTGCGAGTGGTGAATTGACTAAATGCAAACACCTACCCATGCTAGGGGGATGCCTTCTTCTTGATTTTCCGACTGAAAAATTCCGTAAAATATTTATTTTTCACTAAATTATGGTTACATCCGCGAACCTCGTTTACACGTTTCTTTTCGTTTACTTAATCATTTAGCATCGTTTAATATTCATTTATGTAAAGCATTTTAAAGTTACCATTACATTTACCATTAAATGCCTGGGTTTAAAGTTAGTTTCAAACACTAATTTAAGCGACCGGATCTTTCTTTTAAGTCAGTATTTAAAGATAAAAGTTAAGCGAAAGTAATTTAGAAAGCAGATTTAGGAAGAGGAGGAGAAGGAAGAGGAGGAGAAATAGGAAAAGTAGAAAGAAGAAAAGTACCTCAGTTTTTCCAAACGCGTGAGCCTGACGTGAGAAGGCGATGGAGGTGCTATTTAAGGTTGTACGCCTGACGTTAAATTTCTTGGTCTGCTCCTGTTTCTGAATATCCGGGCAGCGTGAGGGGGGAAAAAAGCACAGACGAAACATTGCTTTCTCCTAAGCGTCGCGATCCCGATATAAACGAACAACGGGTGTTACCTTTATGGGCATCTTCATATTCAGGAACTCTGCATACTTGGTCAACACGTCCCATGAGGCATGAAGCTTCAGGAAGAACGTCTTGCCGTCTTGAGACAACTGCCAAAAATGAAAAAAGAAAAAAAAAAACACTGTTACATCGAGGAATAATATCTCTAGTAATTCTTATAGTCGGTTATACAATAGCCTACTTGTAGCCGTAGCGTATACTCAGAGAATATTACTGTAAGTGAAGAGAAAAATCTTACGTAAATGAATAGACATTCCTTGTCGCAAACAAAAACTTCATTAGTCGAACGACGTAGGCCTGTATACTAGGAATTTTTAAAAACTTTTCTTCCCTGTGGACACTAAAAGAGCCTTCTTTTAACAAACCGATTATGGCTTCGTCAGATCTACAATGGGTCGATCGAGGAATGAAAGACTGACCATACCGAAAAATTCTTGGAGTTTTTTTTTACCTATATGGATTCGAACCAAGGTTTCCAGAGCGGCGGTTAACTGCTTGGCTATCCGGAAGTGGTGAAATAAACATAATGCAGTATATAAAAGGAAGAAATACAAAATGCAGTGTAAACATCATCTGTTTCGACAATTGTTATACAAAACATAGTTTTATGATTTAGAATTCGACATTATCAAAGTCCTCGACAACAAAAACTTTCGTGTAGTTAGAAAAAGTGATTACTGTCCTTGGCATACGGGCAAAAATCCACAAGATTCGCCCACCAGTGGCCGTATACATAAAACCATACATATGTATTGGCCGTATACATAAAACCATACATAACCCACCAGTGGCCGTATACATAACCCACGACCACTGTTCAGTGGTCGTGGGTTCGAGCTTGACCAACGTCCACATGAAACTTTCCGGGTTTACATCGCGTATCTAACACGTAAATAGAGATCAGTTTCCCATTAAAAAAAACTTCCCGAAAGGCATCTCCCCTTGGCAAATCGCTTGTATGTTGCGTTGCATACCCTATCAAACCTCTTGTACATTTTAGTGCGTAACGGTTACTTACATTTCTGCACACGTTACGTAGGCATCATCCTACCCATCTGAGAGAACCAGGGATCGCATCCGAGCGATCGAAAAAACTCCGGGAGTTTTTCTAGTAGGGTGATTGTCTCCGATACATCATGCCCAGCTGCTACACATTATGGGTATTGAAAAGAAGACCCTCTTAGTGCCCAGAAGGCAAAAAGAATTAAAAAAGTATCAAAAATAAAGACGTTATCTCGGAAATAACGTAATAAATATAACATATTTATTCAACGAAATCGAATAAACTTTGACAAAGGTAACCCGTATAAATAAAACAGAAAAATAGAAATGTTTATTTTTCTTTCCTTTAAGACAATTCTTGGTGCGATTCAATCTTATTTTTTACAGGGAGAAAAAACACAAGAAACTTTATCTTGTTTCTACATTTTACGCTGAAGGCAATCTCTAACTTCGTATATAATCGATCTTTGTTTCGAGTCAGTTTCTATAAATACTTTTTTCATCCAATTTGTTTCCTTCGAAATTTGTTCTGTAATTTAATACCGGTTTCTAATGATCCTTTTTTAAATAAAAAAGTATTAACAAGGAATTTTTCTGTAGGTACAAGTGCTTGATGAGTGTAGCCAAGTGCAGACAATTTTCTAAATTTGTTCTAAAAGAATTAATTATGCGTATCCCATCAGAAACACTGTCTTCCTTCTTAAATTTATGTTTTACAATTGTATAGAAATCAATTTTATGGCGAAAAGATTCTAATTTTTCTAGTAAAATTGTATTCTTGAAAGCTTTCTGTATTGAAAATTGTCAAGGGCTCTCTTGTTCGACTTTCCTGACACTCGAACAGGTGGTTAATGGAACCATTATGAAGTCCCATAACTTTCAATTATACTAGAATATAAAATTTAAATAATAACAAAAGCTTAAAAGAAGTAATTTTGCCGAATTGTGATTTTAAAAAATATATTTAAGTTTAAAAAACACTAAGACATCAGCTCAAAGTTAAAAGTCAGTGTGGAGCTATCTGTTACGAGATATTATTAAAAAATATTTATATTATTATTATTACGAATAGGTAAAAAAGAAGACTTAATTTTGAGGATAGAGACGAGTTTTTTAAAAATTTTGTAAATGTCAATAACGAGTAAAATTTTCGTAAAGTCCAACCCCACTCAAGTTACGACACATAACCCTCTGTATCTCCTCACCCCCTCGAGTTCCGATTTTCAAAATTTCACAGCAAAGATGTCTCTTATATACAATTTACCGTGCCAAATTTCGTTTATTAATCTTTACCCCAACTTGAGATATTAAACGGAATAGACCCAAAAACATACACATAATTATAGAAAATTTTCCTCCGTTTTTGTTTTCTTTTTTGATTTTTTTTTTTTGCATTCAGGATATTTAAATTTGGAAAGCAAATACTTCACACTGTGATTGTAAATTAAAATCAAGAGAATCTACACTCTATACGGATTCAAGAGAACTTATAGAAACTGCTAATTACGGGGGCCCACCAGTGCCAAGTGGTCTTCGTACCGTGAACACTGGGAGTTCGGTTGTGGGTTCGCGCCTCGTTCGGACGGCTGGCCACGTGGAGTTTTCCGGGTTTTATCCACGTTTGTAACACCTAAATAGGGGCCAGTTTTCCTTAAAAAGACCTCACGGAAGGCATCTCCCTAGGCAGATCGCCAAAGTGTTGCGTTGCCATAACTTAACAACAACAGCTAATTACGGTTTTACATTGTCTTATACATAACTCTTCCTACCATAACCTCATCTTTTACCACTTTCGTGTAGACGACCGGATGGCCGAGCGATCAAGGTGGCAGCCTCCCGCTCTGAGGGACCCGGGATCGTATTCGAACAGGTCGAAAAATCCCCAGGAATTTTTTTCGGAGGGTAGTCCGTTCGGATATGTCCGACCCCGTTCCTCACCACCCGACCGCCCTTGTGGCCTGGCCGAATTTATAATGGGCATGTAAAAAGAGGTCCTCTTAGTGTCCACAAGACGGAAAGAGTGAAAAAAAAAACAAGTAAAACGGGAAAACCGTATTTGGGACAAGATATCTCGGAGACTCACTACTAAGCGGAATCACTTCGACGGGTTTCTCTCTCATTCTCCAATCTTCTTTGGTATCGCTGCTTTTGGGCGCGATCGTTCAAACTTCGCCGACCACGAGGTCGTCCACGATGCATTTTCGATGAAATTAATCTATCCAATTTCGAAATTTCTCTCCGTTGCGTGTCGGCCCGGGTTGAATTTTTGTCCATGCCTAACGAAAATTTCCCGTTTTTGGAAAAAAATAATCGTGGTTATTGTATCGTCCGAATTTTTTTTTTATTTTGCACAAACAATATACAGTTTAACCCGATTATAACGTCATCGGATGTAACGACAACCCTAATATAACGTCAAATTTTTATCGGTCCCACGATTTTATTATACAGTACTAGATAATGCTAAAAAACCTACTTGAAGCACTCTCAAATTTACAAAATTAGATTACAAATTTTATTTAACATAGAAGAAACTATGTGTTCAGGCCTAAGTTTAGAGTTCACTTCTTAGAATGACTGTGGGTGGTACTCTCCCCCACCTGACTTCGGTGAGGTGAGGTCAGTGGCGTAGCGTAGTGGGGGCGGCAGGGGCGGCACTTTTAGGGGGCGGCAAAATTTCACAATAAATAATAATATTTATGTTGTAAAAATTTGAACTATTTCATTTCATATTTTTGTCGCACCTACGATTCGGACCGATTGAAATGAGCACGGAATTTTTCATTACTTATTCTGTGACGAAACTGAATTTTAGTTTTTTAAATTGAGATACCTAAATAAGGGGGCGGCGAAATTTTCCTCCGCCCCGCGCGGCTGACACTCACGCTACGCCACTGGGTGAGGTGCCTGTTTTGCCTGTTTGTAGAAGAGGGTCGCCATTTTGTATTTTATTTTGACTCGGTTCTCGGTCCCCGACTACCTACGAGTCTGGATTTTTTTATGCGTAAATGATTTGGGCACCTTATACTCTGTGCCAAATATCAACTTGTCCAACATGTACTCCTTCATACCTCTAAGCTGGTAACATAAACCGGCAGTACGATTTTATAAACAACACATAGTCCTGTCAAAAACACTTTCGAGTCTCTAAGAAAGCGCGTTGGAGACTTAAATGAGCTACTTCGTCAAACGAAATTGTTAACATCTATTGATTAATTGATTTGGTGAATGGCGCTAATGTATTTTAATATTAATTAGCCTACTTTAATATTAACTAGCCAGTGTATTATCCATTCGGTCACTGGTGGCCGAATGGAGAATACACTGGTAGTCGGTTCTAGTTTATAAAATGAGTTTTCTTCGGGCCATTTTACATGGGGATCATTGCAATGAACTGGCTGCCGATTTCAATCCTAGATATTCTAGGCGCCAAAATTGTGTTTTTCCTGCTTTGCTCCATGTAGAACCCCATAACGTAATCCCTGACGTATTCTTGAAGTTTCTGAGGGGGTTAATTAATTAAGGTAACATTCTACCGCTCTGGAGGATCCCTCAGCTCAGAATTGCGGGCTTGTCTAAATCCATTATGATATTGTTTGGAAAGGACCATCTTAGTACCCACAGGGCAGAAAGAGAGAGTGGAAAAGGCCTTGTTATTTGATCGTTATTTTGTTAGTAAATTTTAAAAATATTACTGTTAGTAGCAGGATTAGCTCAAAGCTATCCATTAAAACAAATTCTGTCGTTTTTATTTTGTTATTTGCCATAGTTACTAGGGAATTACTCTAGCAATACATCTTTAATACCAAAACTATTCTTTCTCTAACTCATAAACCTATAAAAATCTATAGTTTCAAATGCGAAATTTCCAGAAAATAATTTCGGAAACAAATAAGTGAATCGATCGTAAGTGACTCCAAGTCGCGAGATAAGTTTGAAGGACGATCTACGTCATTTCTGTCTCCCAGAAACATCTGCCGTGCCCAGAATAAAGCAATCGAACCCTTTCGCGAGTTGACACACCGAAGAAAAGAAACATTCCTTCGTAATTTGCAGCAAAAATTTCCTATGAGGCTTGAAAGGAAAA